GGTACTGCTTTCCGAGTGGGGCTAAAGGCTGAAGGCTGCTCAGGACCAGCCCTTTCAAAGGATCAAATTAATTCTATGTAACTTATGTACCAGAAAAAAATTTAAATCCAACACTATTTAAAGGCATACAAGAAGACCCAGTAACCAACAACATAAAATTTATTATATCCAGCATCCAATTAAAAAAAAACAAGAACTACTAGTAACGCAAAGAAGCTATAAAATATTACTCATGGTCAAGATAAAAATTAACCAACAAAAAGAGACCCAGAAATGGCAGGGATGATGGAATGTGAAGACAACACTGTTAATACACTTGCTAGAAATATGTTCTGAATGTCCCAGAAGGTGGAAGAAAATATTATGATGGAGAGAGAAATGGAACAAAAAACAAAGGAAGACCCAAATGGAACTTCTACAGATGAAAAATAACAGTATCTGAAATGAAAAATATACTATACTGGCTAGGATTAACAGCAGATTAGACACTGCAGAAGAGCAGATTAATATTAGAAGACATAGTAATAAACACTACCAAGGAAACAGAAAGGGGGGAAAAACTGAAAAAAACTAAACATGGCATCAGGGGCCCGTGGGACAAGCATCTAACAGATATAACTGAACTCCCAGAAGAAGAATAGGGGAAGAACAGAAAAAAATACTGAAAGAAACAACAGTTGAAAAATTTCCCCATTTAATACAAACTATAAGCCCACAGATCCAAGAAACTCAACAAACCCTAACCAGAAAAAACATAAAATTATGCCTGCCCTGGACAGTTTTGCCCAGTGATTAGAGCATCAGCCCACGGACTGAAGGGTCCTGGGTTCAATTCTGCCCAAGGGCACGTACCTCGGTTGCAGCTCGATCCCCTATGTGGGAGGCAAGCAAGCAATGTGTCTCTCTCACATCGATGTTTCTCTCTCCAAAAAACAATGGAAAAAATATCCTCGGGTGAGGATTAAAAAAAAAAGAAAATTATGCCAAAGTCCCTTGTAATCAACTTGGGAAAAGTAGTGAAGAGAATAAAAGCAGCCAGAAAACAAGGCATTACGTTCAGAGGAATAATGAACATCAGACTTATCAGAAGTTACCAAAGACAGAAGGCAACAGAAAGGTCTCATTAAAGTGCTGAAAGAATATTTGACCAACCTAGAATCTTTTATCCAGAGAAGTACCTTTCTAAATTGAAGGCAGAACAAAAGCTTAGAGAATTCATCATCATCAGATCTGTACTATGACAAATGTTAAAAGAAAATTTGGGGGACAGAAGGCAAATGATAGCAGAAAGAAATCTATAACTATACAAAAGAAATGGAGAGCACAGAAATGACATATATTTGGGTAAATATAAAAGACATTTTTACCAAAATAAAAAAATACATATGCTATGGTCTAATGTTTGTGTCCCTCCAAAATTCATGTCAATATCCTAACCTCTCAGGTTGGGTTCCGCCCTCACGAATGTGGGTTAGTGCTCTAATGAAAAAGATCCCAGGCAGATCCCTGCTCCTTTTCGACACTGTGAGGTCACAGCTAGTGGCCTTTCAGCAGATGTCTGATCTAATCTGTCGGTGCCTTTTGTTGTTTATAAACTGCTCAGTCTCTGAAATAACAGCCTGAAATAACTAATATGAGATTTCCAGCTTACGTATAAAAATGTATGACAACAGCAGCAAAAAGTACAGGAGGGCAAAATGAAAGCATCCTGCTATAAAGGTTCTTGCGTTATAATGAAGTGGTATATTCTTATTTGAAGAAAACGTGTGAAAATTTAGATACTGTAAAGCCTACAGCAACCATAAGAAAAATAAAACAGAGAGATATAGTTAACAAGGCAATAGTGGAAATAAAATGAAATCATAAAAAAAAATTCAATCTAAAAGAAGTCATGAAGAGGAAAAAATGAACAAAAACCAGATGGGACAAATGAGAGGGGAGGGGGGATATAGCAAGATAGAAGTTGTAAAGTTAACCATACCAATAATTATAGTAAATGTAAATGTAAAGGGTTCAAGCATCCCAAGACAGATAATGTCAGACAGACCTAACTATATGTTATCTATAAGAAACCCACACTAAATATAAAGACACAAACAGGTTAAAAATAAAAGGATGGAAAAGACATATCTTGCAGGCTTTAATCAAAAGAAAGCTGGAGTGGCCAGACACTTCTGAACAAGTACTATTACCAGAGATATAGACTTTCATAATGCTAAAGGGTCAATTCTTCACGAAGACATAACAATACAAAGCGTATCTCAACCTTATATCTGAGCATCAAAATACAGGAAACAAAAATAATGGTAGAAGTGACAGGAGAAATATTATAGTTGGAGAGTTCAACATCCCTCTCAGTGATTGATAGAACGGCTGGGCAGAAATCGGTAAGGGTATAGAAGACTGAGCAACACTATCCACCAGCCTGACCTAACTGACATTTATGGAACTCTCCACCGAGCAGCAGCACAGTGCTCCTTCTTTCTGGGACACATAAAGCATCCACTGCAGCAGCCCATATTCTGGGCTATAAATCAAGCCTCCACGCACTTAAGGGGACTTAAATTATACAGGGTATGTTTTCTGACCACGACAGGATTAACCAAGGTATCTATAATAAAAAGATCACTAGGAAAATCCTAAAAACTTAGAAAAGAACACAAACAACACACTAATAAATAACCAATGAGCTAAAAAAAAAAAAATCACAAGGGAAACTGCAAAATATTTTTAACTGAATGTAAATAAAAATACAATATCTCCTAAACAAAACAGAAAAAGGATGTGATAACAAATTTATCTTACAGCATAATTTAGCTGAACAGTGGCTGTTAGTTATCATTGTGTAAGACAGCTTAATTCACTGATATTTACTGATCCTCCCTTAAAAGCAAAGAACTCTGCTGGCTGCTACTGAGGATACCTAGAAAAAAAACATGTAGTCCCTTAATCTGGCAGATAAAATTAAGGCCTTTACCTAAACTCCAAAGCCAAGCTAGAGGAGATAGGAGCACTCTGTAAGTGAAGACACAGACCCCTCCAGGACAAGCAGGAGCAGGCCAGGCTGTGACAGTGGAAGCGTGTGGCTTGGGCTTAGAAGCCTAACAATGCAGAGAGCTGTGTGAGTACAACCAGGGCTCTAGCCAGAGGTCCAGCATGACAAAGACAGAAAGGCCAAAAAGGCAGGTGGCAGGTTCAATGAACAGCTAATTCAACTTCATTAGACAGGCATGCACCACAGGCCCCATATGAAGAGAGGAAGCTTAGGACTCGATTGTAAGGGCCTGGAGTGACTTGCAGACTAGACTTGGAGCCAGAACCTGGGTGAGTCCTGGGTCTATTGTTGATTAACAATGGGACCATGGTCCAATTTCTCCATTCTCTGAGGCCCACTTTCCTCCTCTGAAGTAGACTGACAGCATCCTGTCACTCGGAGTTGCTGTGGAAGCAACTGCACCACACACAGGGTGAAGCACTACATGACACAAGGCAGGGGGAAGGTACCGAAGGCTCCTGTGAGCTGGAGGGTGGCCGAGAGGCCCTGGGGCTGAAGGAAAATGAACTGACACCCTACTGCCGTGAATGCTGGATGAGAAGAATGTGGAAATAAGGCAGTGCAGGCAAGAAGCAACAAGGGCCTCAACTAGTGAGGCTGGGGGAGAAGCACCAAGGAGAGGCGAACAAGGGAGCCATCAGGAGACTGACGGGGGATGGGATGGGAGGCCAGGGAGGAGTAAAGTGGAACCTGGGTCTAAAGCAGCGGACACGTGAGAAAATTTGACCCCCAAACAGGGAAGTTAGAAAATAAGCCTTATTTTCTAGGTATAATGCTTCCAAACAAATTTTCACCCATACAATAAGAAACAGCTGACTATGGAAGGAAAATAAAATCTCATGTAAAAAAAAAAATTAATCCTAGAAACTATGCATCTATTCTAAAAGCATCTAGCAAACAACTCCTATATGTAATTATACAAGTGCCATTTAGTAAAACACTATAGATGAATTTTACCATCTAATTTCTAACACATATGAATTTTCATGCATGTTGTCATTTTATTTGAAGGTTGCAATAATGCAAAAATTCACAAATGAGGACACCACAGAAAACTACTAATGTAATATAGTATATGCACCAGAATTTATCAACAAAAAAAATCTTTGGTGCCACACTGGCAGAGCCAAACAGGTAAAATGTGAAAAAGTCAGCATGGTGGTACGGGGGGAAAAAATCATTTGTCACTGAGTTTTCTGCTTTAATAAAAAATTCATTATAAAACGCAATCAATCAAGAAAGCCTGAATCTACTAAACACACAAACGTAACAGAAAACACCATTCTTGAATAAAGTGTAATTGTATGAGCTGTGGATTGTGTATGAATGAACACAATGCCAACTAGTGCCCCAGAATTCTACCTATGCTTATTAGGCTGAAAAATAAGACCTATCTCACTCCAACAGAACCACTGTCACATACTTGGACCTGGTTCACTATGTAACAATATGATCACTTTTCAAAATGATTAGAAATCATGTATGAATAATGTTCATTGAAATTAGGTTAGGCCTGAAATTCTTAAAAAAAAAGAGTCAAATGATTTCCAAATACAATATAGCACTCAAAGTAAAAATAGATTAGATATAACTAGCTTATTCCAATAAATTCAATGGGTGAAGGCTTGTTGTTTCGCGAGGTGCTTTTCCAAGCTTATCTAAGCGATACTTAGAACGGTGTCTATTACATGCCCATTCACAAATTATGTCTAAGACAATCGCAAGAACCATTAAAGGTTTTCCATTACAGCTTTCTGCTAACAGACTCTGTTTTTTGCGCAGAATCAGTTAGTTTAGAAAGCATACATGTAGAAAGAAATTCTAACTAGTGTCCTGGGGGTAACTTACTTAACTTCTTTGCTGTCATATGTAAAAACAAACCTCACAAGGCAATCAAAAGGGGGAGGGAGGAGGGAAACATCTGGATAGGCTCCAGAGAACTCACCCGTGCAAAGTCAAACGCATATCTGTAAATAAGTTTAAAGTTTGTAGAATCATTTAATAATGATCTTAAGTAATCCAAAGTATTTCTGAGTTTTTCTGTTGTATCACATCTAGAAAAACAGAATAAAGGCAAATTATAACCTGAGTTTTTTTCTTAATTGGGGCAGTAATATAAAACACAATACCAAAAGACAGAATAAAAACTCTGGAGTTGTAACACATCCATGATGACCTATTTTTCCTACACTTTTTATTTAAAAAAATTTCAAATGTACATAAGTTGAAGAGTAAATAAGCACCCATATATCCATCACCTCGGTTCACAATAAACATTGTTACACTTGTGCTCTCTCACATACATGCACTTTTTTTCTGTACCATTTGAAAGCAAGTTGCCAACTAATGACATCCCTAACACTTAAATACCATCATCACTCTTAATTTTCTACCAATGCTAACTTTCTTAGCTAATATACAACTCACATTGTCAATTTCCCAACTGTTCCCCCAATTTTCCTTAAAGCTGCTGCTTTTTTTTCAATCCAGGATCCAATCAAGGTTCGTGCACTGCTTTTAGTTGTCATATCTCCTTAGTCTACGAAGGGTGTCCCACCTTTTTTCTTTCTTGACAATGTCATTTTTAAAGAGATCAAGCTAGTTGTTTTGAAGAATTTCAACTTGTCAGATAACTTCTCTGTGGTTATATTTAGGTTAAACAAGTATGATAAGAACACTACACATGATGTCCTTCTCAGTGCACTCCACGAGGAGGCTCACACAAGTCTGCCCCATCACTGGTGGTACTGAGCCGATTGATTTCGATAAGGTGGTGTCCACTAGATTCCCCATGTAAAGGTACCATCCCCTCTGGAATAGTACATAATCTGGGGGATGAGATCCTGAGACTCTGAATCCTGTTCCTCAACAACCTTCCTCGATTCTGCCATCCACTCACTGATTATACCTGCCTGAATTGATTTTACATTTGAAGATGCAAAATGGTGATTTTTCCAACTCTATCATGCTTCTACACTTACTGGCTGGAATTCTTCTATAAAGAAAAGCTCTACTCACCACTTTTCTTATTTTGGGAATTAAGAACTTTTGTTTTTTATTTGGTGTTATAAGCTACTACTGTCTTTATTCTTTTCGATGTACAAACTGTCCTGATTTGGGCCATGGCCCCTTCAAGCTAGCTCCTGTGTCCTGCTGACATGCCTTCAAGCACGTCCTCACTTTCTGGCACAAGATATTCCAGCTCACTTTGTACTTTCCCTGCCTTAGACTTGAAATCAGCTATTTCTCTAAAGAGCCCTGGTGATGATAACCTATTTTTACAGGAAAGTGACACACTGTTTATTTTTCCTAAGGAAGTAGACTAATTGGTTATTTTTACATACTAATTTTGTTTGTAATATCTAGCCCTTAAAAATGAGAACCAAGAGTTCCCATTTTCACCGGCAATATTCAAGCTTTTCAAATGCTGATGCATTTTTTGTGTGTTTCTCTATAAAGCTTTTATACCTACTACTAAGTATAGATCACACATATTACAAGTATTACCAATGTTAATATTATAAATACTTTATAAACTAAAATATGGTTCATAATAGAACACACCGATCTATTTTTAGGAAATCTGTGGAAGCTAAATACAAAAAAGTCCCCATGATCTATTAAGATAAAATATCTAAAAGCGAAAAATTAGAGTAAATGTTTCATTTGTGAGTCTATAACAACTCAGAATGTCCTTTATTTCTTCCTAATGTTTGAAAAAATTTTTTAAAAAGATAAAAATCAGATATTTTAGAAGTCAGAAACAGCTTCAAGGGACTAACATGTAAACTGGGAACTGAAAGATAAGAAGAAACTTGATGTTTTTGGAGGGGATGGGTTTCCAGATAAAAGGAACAGCATGTGCAAAGGCCTTGTGGTAGAAGAGAGCACAGAGAGACCAAAGATGAAAACCACTGTGACTAGACTAGGTAGAGCAAAAGCGGACGTGGTACAAGATGAAGCTGAAAGGGAGATGGGATCAGGCCATAAAGAGTTTCTGTGGCCCACAGTGTTTTATTTTTTAATTGAATCCTAGAGCCAATGGAAACCACCTTCTACCATGGAAAGACCAAGATCAGGCTTGCATCTTGAAAAGCTCATTCTGGATCTCTGTGGAGAAGGGTGGGGAGGGAGGAAAAAAGAGACACTGAGAGCCTACTCAGAGATCCAGAGCCAGAACCCAGCTGAGGGCCAATGGAGAATAAAAGGACAGGATACACAAGAAAGCAGTAAGTGGGAGCACAGCTCACTTTGCATTGGGCACTCTACAGTATGGTTTTATTTATTAGCATAAATATAAATAAATAACAGTAATAATATGGGGAGTGTCCAAGAGGAGGGAGTGCTAACTGCAAAACATACAAGGTTGAGGTCCCTGCTCCTCAGTGGAAACGAAAGTTAAGGACCAAAGCCACAGGAAACTGGCCAGATTTTGGCTGGTGATTTAGTTTAGCCCTGCTCAATGAGAAGAAGAGCAGTTGTTTGTTTCAACAGATTCAAAGACAGGAAGCACTCATTTAGATAAGGCTACATAGTTAAAAGGAAATAAAGAAGCTCAGAGTCTTTGGGTAGAGCTGCAAGGCAAAATGTCAAGTTCTGAAGCATGCTGGGGAGTGGGAGTGAGTCCAGCCACCCTGGCAAAAGATGTCCCTATATTTGAAAGACCAGAGATCTTGTCTGGAGTGTAAAGTATAAAATGCCCAAAGTAACATTTCAATTTTATGTATCTATTAAGGATAGTTACATGGGTTAGATATGATATTGTCAATAAAGAATTTAATCTCCTTTAAAAGGGGCTTTAGACAGAAGACCCTCTGGACCAACCCCCAATCGGGAAGCAGTCCATTGAGTCCCCAGGTCTGAACCATAGACTGCCATCTAGTGGCCACTCAACAAGCTCATTCACAAAGGCGTCCGTTCTTACAAAAGGCCTGTGAACAGACAGGGGTGGGAAGTGTAAGCAACCAGCCTGAGATTTTTCAGGAAGCAGCCACATCTTCAATCAGTTTCCCCCTGCTGTTGTGTTAACCACATATAAGAAAACTCGCAGAAGCTGTAGGGTGATAGTGCCACACAGCTACGGAACATCATTTGTCAAAACAAGATATACACATGTAGTGGGACCATTTCTTGAGTTTTGCTGCCACAAAACACATTTGTAATCAACAGAAATCAGGACAATAACCCTCAAAAGTTATAAAATCAAAGGTAGTTCTCCCCCATTACCCAGAAAAGGCCTTCACTCCTTCACGCAGTCAGCCAAAAAGGTATTTTCCCAGCCCACTATCAGTTCTGTGCAAAGTTAGCTACAACTCTAACACACTTCATTTTGTTTTTAGCTTAAACATCCCTACAAAGCAGCGATTTTCAACCTTTTTCATCTCACAGCACACATAAACCAATTACTTAAATTCTGAAGCACATCAAAAACTATATTTTTTGCCAATCTGACAAAAAAAATAGTTATAATTTTGATTCATTCACACTGGACAGCTATTGTTGTGTTGGCTGTTGTCATTTTTAAATTTGACAATCTAAGGGAAAAGAGGTCAGTGCCCCTAACTGAATAGTCAGGTATTGCATGTTTTAAAAATTCTTGCAGCACACGGGTTGAAAATTGCCGCTATAAAACTTATTTAATTCATCAGTGGTAGCCTTAAAACTACATGTTGGAACAAGGCAATAAATAGTTAAAACAAGAGCTGTGCCTTCTCTGACTGAGGATGACCTAGGGAGCACGAGGAAAGACATTCCCTACCAGCTGCTGTCACTTATTCCAGCCTGGAGAGGCCACATTCACAAGGCTCATTTCCGAGTGCCCAAATGTCTGCTGCATTTCATAGCTTCACCCTCCTGGTTTTACAAATGCTACCAGAGACGCCCAGGAGGTGGCCAAACTGATTAAAAACTGCATATTTCACTCCTCAGGTGGTGAGGCCTTCAAAGCACATGGGAAAGGCCTGGCATCATGTAATATTCTTTTGTAAAGGCAAATATAAGAGTACAATCGAGAACTATACAAAAATATTATATTCTCTTAAGACAAATGAAAATGTGCCTGAAGTGGTGACGGTGCCTCCTCTGAAGCCTTGAAACAAAATCTTCATGTGGCCATACAGTCACATTACAAGGACACTTCACAAAGAGCAGTCATCACATACTCTATTCGGAAAGCAACAAAGAAAGGCAGCGAGGAAAACAATGAAAGAGTTAAAGGCTTAAAATCATAAGTTGTTTGCCAACATGACAACACAATTTTAGAGATTTCAAAGACTTAACCCTAAAATTCTGGAGTATTCTGAGAGGAAAGTGTGTTTGTAAAAAGGTGATTTGGCTTTTACTTAAAACTCACTTGCCATCAGACAATAGTTGTTAGAGGAAGAATGTGACTTCAGAATCAGAAGTCTTGGGTTTCCTCCCATCTCTGCCGCTTACTTTCACAAATCACGAATCCTGAGCCTCAGTTTCCTTACTTATAAAATGCACAAGGATCAAGCTTGATCTGTCTAAGTAGCCGTGAGGCCCAAATGGGAAAACAGCGATAAGGCTCCATAAGCCACTAAAGCCCAATGCCAATAAAGCATTCCTATCAGTAACAATGGACAAGGATACTAAAAGTAGACAAATCCCAAAATTACTCCATGAAAACCACTTCAACGCCAGTTTTAATCTAATAAAAACTGAAGTCTTATTTCGAGTTAAAGTGAAAAAAAGAGGTCATTTCAAGCACTCTAGATCAAAGCTATGTATCTTCCATTAACGTCTAAAATGTTTAGTCACCCACCTCAACTGTGTCCTTCAATGCATAGTACAGAATAACAATTTGTTTTCTTGAATGAAACTCTTAGCAAACGCACACATACATACACAAACACACCAAACACAAGCACAAAGTGAACACATAAAACCACTGATTTTTTTTAGGTAACACAAACAGAATCTTTATTATTACTATTTTTTAATCACTAGAGTAATGAGGTCCCGATTTTACCCTAAACTAAAACAGAATATATAAAATAGAAGATATCAAACATTTTCACTTATAAGTTATACTTCACTCAACTTTTTCTCATTAACTGTAAACCAGAGTCTAGAAAGCCTTTGCTTTTCAAGCTCTAACCCTGTGCAGTCTAATACCATAGCCACTAGACACATGTGGCTACTGAGCACCTGAAATGAAGCTAATGCAAACTGAGATGTATCATATAAATAAAATATATTAAAATTAATTTTACCTGTTTCTCTTTACACTTTCTTAGTGTGGCTATTGGAAAATTTTAAATTACATATGTGGCTCATATATATGAGAAAAGGCTGGTCTATTTCTATTGGGCAGAGCTGCTCTAGAAGAATACTAAAATAAATAATATACACTCACATAAAAATCTTAATTGCTAAAATTCAACCATAAAGCCCTCCTCATCATATAAAAACGGCACATGGTCTTCACGCCCATGGCTCCAGTGGAAGTCTACCCAGATCACCTGGCTTTCCTCCAGGCACTCAAGCCAGGCTCCCTGAGGTCCCAGGGAGCAGGCAGCCAGCTTGGGAGTAGCGACCCCCTAGGACAGTCCCAGGACTTACTGTAGAGAAGTCATTCCTTTTAACCATTCCTGCAGAGTAAAATAACCCATATTTTGTGCATCCAATTTCCAAGCTAGGACAAGCATAACTACCTGTTTAAAAAAAAAACAAGAAAGCCCAGTCAAATCAGAACAACATATCTCAGCAATTAAATACATTAACATCTCACCAAATGCTTCTGTTCACGGTAGTTTGATCACTGAAATATGAACAGAATAACTTCAAAAAAGTTCTAGTTGCCAAACATCTAGAAGTTTGATCATTCAGTGTGCTGACAAGGGTTTGGAGAAACATGAACTCTTATAATGCATGCTGGTGAAAATGTAGAGATTAACCTCCTCAGAGGGCAATTTATTTTTATTTATTTATTTGTTTGTTTATTTTAAATATATCTTTATTGATTTCAGAGAAAGGAAGGGAGAGGGAGAGAGAGAGAGAAAAACAACAATGAGAGCGTTGTCATTGATCGGCTGCCTCCTGCACGCCCTTGACTGGGGATCAGGCCTGCAACCCGGGCATGTGCCCTGACTGGGAATCGAACCACGATCTCCCGGATCCTGGGTCGATGCTCAACTGCTGAGCCAGGACCAGCTGGGCCCCAGAGGGTAACTTAGCAGCATCAAAATTAAAGCCAGTTGTTGACTCAGCAATTCCACCTACGGAAAGTTACCTTATAGATATACCTGCACATGTATGCTAACATGTATGTTCAGCAATGCTTACCACAGTACTATCTGTAGAAGCAAAAGACTGAAAACCCACATTTCTAAATAAGGGACTAGTAATTAAATACTTCTTTGCTAAATACATTCCACAGGAAGGAATACGATGTCCCCACAAGACAAATAAGTAGAGCTATCAGTACAAATAGGGAATGACCTCCCAGATTTATTAAGTGAAAAGAACAAGGTGCAAAACAGAGTATTAAAAATTAAAAAGGTGGGTGGTGGGATGTACACTGGGGTTGTACCACAAATGATGTTTGTAAATTCAACTGTATAGACTGAGGCGAATTATATAAAAGTAGCTCAATACTCCACGTAAACAGCACTGTGCCTGTACTGAACACCAGAGTAGCAGCAGGGCCAATCACTTCTCAGTGGAGTGCCACACAAAAACACCACAACGGCTGTGCTGCGATGGTACAATTAAGTGTACTTTTTCTGTTTAAAATCTCCTTTCATCAAATATGAATTAAATCAGTACATATCAATTTTTAAAGTCACCAGGTGTTTTAGATTTCAAAAATCTAGATTACTAGGTAGATTATGAGGACTGATTAGTAAGCCAATGTTTCTATCTTATTTTGCACATCACAAAATGATTGTTAAGTAGGTTACAGAATGGAACTTAAGAGACCAATGGGCTACTTAGAAGAATTTTCCCAAAAGTAGTAGTTGTATGTTCTTCAAAGTATTCACACATTAGAGGATTTTCTCATCTCTTGAACATTTTCTAATTCAAACTTGGTATGTTCTCAATACATATAATCAATCATCCACTAGGAAAGATTAAAAACCCCACATAAGCCCAGCCAGTGTGGCTCAGCTGTGGAGCATAAACCTATGATACAGGAGACTTCGGTTCGATTCCCAGTCAGGGCACATGCCCTGGGTTCTGGCTCCGTCTCCAGTAGGGGGTGTGCAGGAGGCAGCCAATTAATGACTCTCATCATTGATGTTTCTGTCTCTCCCTTTCCCTTCCTCTTTCTGAAATCAATAAGGACATATTTTAAAAAAATTCCACATAAACATGTTAAAAAAACGGTGAAGGCACAAGAACACAGACACTGTACATGAAATGTGTCTAAACTGCCAAAGTGAATGTTCACAATGGGTATTAATTACACAAAACACCTTTTTCTTATGACAGCTAGTAAGAAAGCTAACTACTTAAATAAAGGATCTTGCTGTTACTTTAGTAAATGAAAGTAGACTTAAATTTTACAACCTGCTTAAATGTCATAAGCTATAAATAACAGGCAAGGTGAGAGTTTAAAGTACTTTAAAGTGCTTACTCATTGATGAAAATAGCCTTTTAAAAACTATTTTGCTGCTCGTTTTCAAATATTAACATTTCTGAAATTATGATGTATCCCCCATTAACAGGCACAGCAGAATTTATTTAGCATCAATTTTTTCTTTCTTAGTGATGACACAACTTACATAACTTCTATTAGTGGCATCTTAGAACTGAAGTACAGTTATAAATACTTTAAAATAATATTCTAAATTCGGTCTTTTAGTCTTCAATGGGCGTGATTCAACATCTCAAGACTAATTCTACAGAAAGAAAGAGCTAAAGGACTCATAACTGCCTAGAAAGGAATAATAATAGGAGCTCTCTTTTATTGAGTACTGGTGTTTGGGGATGAGGAACTCTGAAGAGCTGGGAACCCCCTTTCAGTTAGAATCCACATCAGCACTCCCTCACACCGACAGGCCGTTCCACCCGAGCGTCAGTGCTCGCCCAGCCCCTCCCACCCCGCAGCCTGCCCTGGCCCCCGGCCTCCGAGCCTCCTCAGCCCGCTGCCCGTCCTCTGAGCAGCCGGGGACTGCTGGCCTCTGGCAGAATCTCCGGAGCCTCTCTCAAGCCCATTCACTCATACTCAGAAAACACCCTGCCAGCCTCGGTCCAGCTCCCATCAGGACCTGGCCTTCTTAAAGTCAGTGAATGTTCTTTTCTGTGTCTACAAGTAGTCTATGGACCAGAGCAGGAAAAATACTATTGACCCAGTTGTCCCCAAACCTTTACGCCAAGCTGAATAATTTATCTAGATACCTGAACTAGATCACATTAAAGTTTAAAATACAAGACAAAAACCCAAGTAATAAGTTAAAAGACATTCCAAAGGCTCTTTATAAATTTTAAAATGTTATTAGGGGAAAGTAGGGGAGAACAGAGGCATAGAAATGGTAGGGACCCAAAAAAAGTTTTAATGAAAAAGTGTGAAGTCTCAATTCCTAGTTTTCTTTAAGAGCATGGCACATATGCATGGGCACCAGATATCCTGATAAGAGCCTGAATGAAGAGGAAGATCCTGAGATCGCTTCCAGATCATAAGTTAATTTAGGATCCAAGGCATATTTGTTAAACTGAAGGCTAATGTAATATTAAACTGCACAGTTAATGATCCAGGGCATTTGCATGAGCATAATTTTTCATTTTAGTATAAGAGAGATGTGGGAACAGGAAAAAACATTCAACAATAACATGCTGATAATTAGGCAAATATATAATTAAGCATATAAAATAACTTCTAATTAAAAATTTTAAGGGAAATACTTAGGGCCCTTACACTGAAAAGCAATCACTTTCTGAGCTAAATGCAAACGGAAGTAAAAGAGCCATGAAAAATTCTTGATAATTACAACCTACTCAAAACCCTTTTTCAAAGTCCTGGATAAACTCTACATTAGGCTAAAACAGCTACAAAAGGAGACAAAGGGACACATACTGCGCCTCGGCCCCCAAGTTGATCTGTCACTGTTGATACACATGCCCACACCACTTTTAAAAAGTCTAGTTTAACTACCTTATTAGTGTACCTTTTAGATACAGGAACTAAAACACGAGAAAAAATGTACACCATACCACTTACAACAAAAATTTCACTTACAAATCAAATTAGAATTGAACCTAAGTTGTTAGATTGCCTCATAAAAACTAACACACCATTACTTTCTTATTGTTGCTTTATTTGTCAAGGGACAAAAGACTTAAGAAAAATAATTAACTGATTCACCCGAATTAATAACTTAGACTCACGTTTTCTGGTTCAACACCAATGTCTTCACAAAATTTCTCCATGCCTTCAGGACCTACAACATCATCAGTACCTGCAGTGAAATGCAATCTTATATAAATTAAACCTAACCATGTACTCTATTACATTGTGGTAGTATTATATTGTCAAATACTTATTATCCAAGTAAACTAAAATCAAATAACACTTAAGGCTAGAACTCCCTTCTGAAGAAAGAAATCACCAAGTATAAATTGAAAAATATTCTAGCATTTCAATTATATCTTTAAAGGATTCGACTCTGCAAAATGAGTTAAGTCAGTTTACTGCATGTCTCTCAACCTATGGACATATGACAGCCATAATTTATGTCTAAAGATAAGGGTACCTGCAAAGTCACTAATACCCCCTACTTGCCAAATGTAATAGACAGAGTCCATCTTTATGTTATTGGCCCTCAGAGAAGGTTTGCTGATGTATACTGTGCAGGAATGTTAGTTATCATGGTCTTCCTTTTCTCCACATTTTATGCAATGCCACTGTCTTATTAATTGCATACACTTGCCCTGTGTGTTTTAAGAGAGCCAAGTTTTCAACAGTACGATTTGCAATGGTATCATTGCAAATGTAACTATTTTATCCTAAAAATATTAAAATATAGTTTGTCAATTTACATTATTTAAAAGCCACCCATAATCCTGCTATCTAAAACAACTTTTTCATCTCATTATCTTTCTCATACACTTATTTAGATCTATCTGTAATCACACTGTTCATTGGGATTATGGTTATATTTATACTGAAGTTATCGATTCCCCTATAGAACTGAGCAAACTCATTCTAACAAATATGCCACTGGCTAACATAAAGTGGGTTAGAAGTGAGGTTTGAGGAAGATGTTTTAAAAAAAGCCATTATATCTAAAATAAGCTATGGAATGCCCTGGTGACAAGATCCTGGAGATACATTTGGAAGACAGACATACTGACAGTAATCTAGAAAAAAGTAGTCCTCCCACGTTCCCTCCCATTTTAAGCAGGGGCCCCTAATTATATTTAACCTTTTCACGATGGGCCAAGATCCTCCTGGTCAAGTTTCCATAATTATACCATGCTGTGTCATGGAGGCAAACGGGCCCCACCATCAACTTTGGTAGCTTTTAACATCTCTTCCTTTGCTGACAGTGCACTTGGTCACTTAGCACCTACTTCTGGTCCCTAATCTCATATTGGTAAACCAAAAAATCATTCTGCTATAAAACTTAATCAAAATAGAGACTAAGGGCCTACAATCAGGACTTGTAGAACTTCTATGACCTACAAATGTGAGCTTTAGGGTAACTCTAAAATCAACGTTGGCACTTGTGTATTTGGCTTAATTTCTTAATTTTATATATACTCCCAGAAAGTGGAAGTTCAAAATTAGATAAATTATTTATGTAAAACAGGGATTCTAGTTTCACAAGGAGGTCTAAATAACCACCTCCCACCTTCCCCCACCCCATCCTTTCTAAAGTCACAGAGAACTGAAGTACTGAAGTACGAAAGGGAGTAAACCACACAGAACAGTAGAAAGAGTCTTCAGTGGAGTGGGTTTCATTTATTAAATTTCTGAGAATCAGTTACTGAGTTGATAGGGATTTTAAAAAGTGGTTAGTTCACATCATAGAACGTGCAAAGGACAGCTGGGGTTAACTGGCCAGGCAGACGCTGAAGAGCTGCGCTCAGACTGCAGAAGCCATGGATAGCAGACAGCAAGGAAAGGAGTGGAACGGAAAATTCTGGAAAGAATTGAAGGTCCATCCATGTGAAACAACTGCACACCAAGACCTCTGCTGCCCCACCACCCTCTCCAAATTAAAGTACGGGAGTCAGCCCACACCAGCAGCTCTCTCCTAGGGAAAGCGAACACCATGAGTGGTAAAGCCTTCCTCATTTCAGGGGGCTCACCCTACAGTACAACCTGTAAGTCATCTTTGAAAAATACTGACCTACAGTTTTTATTCATGTGGTTGGGGGTATTAAAAGTGAAACAGGTGCCACTTGGGACTTTTAATTATTCCCATTTTCAAACCATTTTCCCTACTGATAAGATACAGAAGAAGGAAAAGGGAGGAGGCAGGTATAAAAACAGAGCTAGCCACACCCCCAGAAACTTCTTTTGGGAATGGACTACCAGGAACCACACAGCAGGCATCTCAGGGAACCTAAAGAATGTGGCTTAAGCTTTATCCCAAATGTCATCTTTCTGAGCCAAAGAAAAGCAAACAAGAAGGGAAATTGTAGCCTGCTCTCTTTTTAAAGAAAACAGAAGTGTGGCTTATACTATGGAAAAATTTATGCTTACTTGTAAAGGAAGACACAAAAAAATAAAAATAGCTATGCTATGGTGGTGGGATTAAGTGTTCCTTTTATGTTTAAAATTTTCTTCTTATAATACATTTCATAACAATAAATGTGAGCCAAGAAGAAAGCAAAAGGTCTTCATAATCAAAGTGATACAAATATGAGCAATGAGCAAACTCTTCCTTCATTTCAGCATCCACGTACCAAATACCTGGAAAAGTGCCAAACACTTTTACTAGGAAGACAAATGTCTTCAAGAGATTTGTGTTCTTATGACACAGATGTGAAAATATATAAATACTATGTAAGTGTTTGTACTAGTGTCCATGCCCTACAAACAAAATCCAGCTCAACTTGTTCAAATAATGAAGGAGAGACAATTCCCTAGGAAGACATTGGGGTAGCTCACAAAAATCCAATGAACTACAGGAAGCAGGATCAGGATTGCATCCTTTCAAGTCCACACCAGAAGAGAAAGATTCTTCTCCTAGCTTCCTGATAATCCTAGGAAGTTTAATCTGATTGGCCTGGCCTGGATTCCCTGTCAGTCCCTGGAATAATCTCTGTGGCCAAAACAGGCAAGGCTCTTACCAAAAAAAAGGGTGGAGTGTGGGGAGGGGGGGCGGAATGGCAAGATCAGGCCATGGGAGGAACCCTCACTTTGATACCCAGTAAAATAGTATCAGAACTAGTTATGAACAATGTCCTAGAGAAGTACAAAGGCAATTAAGCTAATTAGGGGGCTTTAAAGTGATATAGCATCTTGAGAGATGGAAAAATGGAGAAAAGCACTCCAGACAAAGGGATGGCACGGAACTAGTTTCTTTTTTCCTGTAGGTAGCAAGGATTTTAAGTGATATGAAGCGGGACTTGGGTAGGTAGATAATAGGAACGTTGTTTTGAAGGATGCTGTGATAGGTTGATAGAAAATAAGTTAGGGAAGAGGAAAAGTTAAAGAACCTACAGCTCAAACTTGTCTGAAAATTTTTTTCTCTTTTACAATATACACAACCACAAAAACCACCAAACCCTAGATTTCAGTATTACACTAGCCAACCAATTATAATAAGTTGCAAAAATGGAACTGAATTTAACACATTTAAATGACAAAACAAACATTTTCTGCCAAATGATCTTTCAAAATAGACACTTAATATAAGAAATTCTGTTGCATTACGTAAAGGTTCAAAACAGCAAAGCTTATTTTAACTACAATGTGTAAACCAAATAATCACCTATTACCAGCATTTGAATAGGTTTCCTAGCAATGCAAAGTATTTCTTCCAAGAGCATTTCATCTTTTCAGTTCGGTTCTAGTGTTCTGAACTCTTTGGCTTAGCTGCTGGCTATAAATAGGACATTTGGTGATTTGTTTCAACGATGTTCTCTCCCTCAAACAGGGACACACACATACACACACACACAACCCAAATTCAAAAAGTACACATTTCTTAATTTCCTAATCTCCTCTAAGGTAGTCCCTACTTTGAAGGTGATCGGTCTTAGATGATATAAGTGATTACCTACCTGCATATTCATAGAACCACTCTAAGCACCTCTTACTTGAAAAAGCTTCTTCCTCAGTCTTTATTCTAGTTGAATCATATTTTCTGTACATGCTAGAAATTGAGAAAGCAGTTTTAAGTTATTCAAAGTAGAGATTCTGATTTCTTTTAAAGTAGCAGATAAATTTTATTCATTTACCCAAACCACACATCTATTTAATCAGTATTTCAAGTACATTTTAAATATTTTACTTCCTGCATTTGGAAGCTTCAGCTTTTATAACTAGTTTTTAAACACAGTCACACCCAATAGAATTAAACGGCAAGCACTTAATATGGGTTTTTCTCTAACAGATAATCAGAAGAACTGAATAGAACAGGTATTTTGATAGACCCCCTTCTACCTCACTAGCCAGCACTAAGTGCAGAATCATAGTGAGATACAGCAAGAAATGTCTACAGTGTTTTCTTCAATTGATGACCCTACAACTCACTCCTGTCTCTCATTAAGTTCTCCTGACTTGTGTGTCTTATGAGTCACACTGGGCACAGTCTAAGGAAGACCGTTGTCAATATTAGACACTTCAAGAGAACTTTAAGAAAATAAAAAGAAACCTCAAAATGTTCAAGCCTCCGGGGGGAAAAAAAAGTGACGTGTATGGTTGATCACCTCATTGGATGGTTTCTTGATTAGGATAACCTTAAAAAGCTCAGGAGGGAGAAATATAGAGAAACCCTGGCTTATGTCATTCTCTTACAATTCCATACTACTGTGGAAACAGCCAGCATAAGCTGATGAACTGAACCAGGAAGCAGCCTCTTCCTGTAACACTGTGACCTTCAGCAAGAATTTCTTATTTCATAATGACCTGGGGCTGAGGACTGAAATATTCCCTACCTAGGAAGGGAAGGCAGTTTCTTTACAAATAGTAATTTGGATAGAAAACTTATTAGTATATACTTTTCTTACCCTTTATTTATATATAAATTGCCTAAATAGTTATAAACATAAACATTTATAAATATAATTTTCATTTACATAGTATAGAAAAAGCACATGTAATTCTTTTCTAATGAGCATTTATTCATAACCCACACATTCACCAGAATATCTGTATACACCTCTGATTAGAGATTCTGAGTTTCAATATCAAAAAAGGAACATGGCTATAGGGTGGTAAGATACTGAAACTGTAGACCACCAGTTTTATTTTCTTTGAAAAAGGTAGCCATAATACTGGAAACAAAGGTGGATACCGTCCGAGGGTTCAAACAGATATGCTCCTATCCTGGGCCTCAACAGTTCTTTCTCAGCTCAAAGTCTTTAACTGTTTAATAATCTAGAGACCTTTATATAACACTGTAATGTCTGAACTGCTTAAACATGCTCTACATAAAAAAGGATAATGGAATACCATTTAGCCAGTAGAAGAAAAGAAAGATATGTGCTGTAACGTGGATGAACCTCAAAAAACATTAAGTGAAAGAAGCAACACACAAAAGATCACTTATATAAAATGATCAGAAAAGGCAAATCTGTAGAGCTAGAAAGCAGATTGATGGTTACCTGGAGTGCGGGATGGGGAACAGGGAGTGAATGTGAATGGGCTGGGCATCCAGAATCTCACTGGGGTGATGGAAATCTTCTAAAACTGGTTTGTAGTGATGGTTGTACAACTCTAACAACTTAGTTAAAATCACTGAATTTGTACACTTAAAATGGATGAAGAATCCGGCCAGTGTGGCTCAGTGGCTGAGCATTGACCTAAGATCCAGGAGATTGAGGTTTGATTCCCGGGCAGGGCACATGCCCGGGTTGTGGGCTCAATCCCCAGTTGGGGGCGTGCAGGAGGCAGCCGGTCAATGACTCTCTCATCATTGATGTTTCTCTCTCTCTCTCCCCCTCTCCCTTCCTCTCTCTAAAATCAATAAAGACATATTAAAAAAAAAAAAAGAAAAAGGGGAAAAAAAAGGATGACCATTATAGAATGTAAAAAGAGTTGTTTAAAAAAAAAAAAGACCAAGAATGAAGCTCAGATAATGCTATAGCTCCCTCCCCCTTGGGTGACCATGGAATACTATCAATAAAAGTACCTCACACCCTTCTGCAATTCCACTACCAGTTCTTAAACTGGCTTTATCATCTTAAATAATATAGGCTGTGGTGAAAAACTAATACACGCCATATATAGTCACAAAATGCTACGTGATTATTAGAATTTGACAATTCTCCCAATAATCACATCTATACCACCAAGGAAGTATAAAGTAACCTGGCTTCGTAATGCTGAAAAGCACTGGTCTACACATTGCTAGTGATTATCTACTAACTCATTACTATCTGCTTTTAGATAATATTTTCTACTCATTTGGGATATGAACAGTGACATTATTTTCATATTTTCAGAGTCCATTGCCCTATCCCTCTGAGTTGTAGCATATTAAGTATCACAGCAAGAAAGAAACAGAAAAGTCTCATCCAATCTCCTTGATTTGTAGATGTGAAAATTCAGGCCCACTAGTGAATTGACCTACAGATCTAGAATAAAGGGAGACGAAAAGAGGCAGAAAGGATTAAAACTGATGTTTGTTGATTGTTTTAAAAAAAAGAGAAGAAAAAAATAACTTATTAAAAATCAGGGTGAAACAATCAAGATGCCTAAAATAAACAGGTCCACCAGACCTTTGGAGTCACCAAATTAACAGTTCACTTGTCTGAAAGAGAAGTGGTTTAAACAAATTTTCTAACAAATCTGTTTCTAACAAATTCTCACTCTTCTGAGAATAAACCTCAGCTCAGCTAATACTCACACTGGCTTAAGAGCATTCAGTGCAGGCAGCTCTCTCTGGCCACTCAGCCCAGGTCCCCTGCAAAGGCAATTATGGGATTCCTGTGGAGTATTTAGTGAGAACACATACCAATCTTGTGGTCCTCAGCAGGCAGACACCAGGCCCATAAAAGGAAAGAAAGAAACTCTACACCAGTTTTGGTGGGTCAGTGGACTAAGATAAAACTTTAATTTCTAAGAACTCAAATTACCTAATATGTTTTTGTTTTATAAACCCACACATAAAATAAGTGACATGAAATAATTACACTTTGAAAGTCTGGCTGGCAGAAACAAAATAATGTTCCAGTTGGCATTTGTACACTTAGAAGACCCACAATGGATCAGGCAGAATTGTGCCTTTTTTACACCAATGTCATTAATTTTGACCTGTCTGTGTCATACCTATCATGTCTACTTTTCTTGGCAGATAAGTCATCTCCAGAGGCAGGTCTTCTCTTTTTCCTTGGTGGCATCACTTTACTGAAGCAGTCCGAAGAACTACAAGACCGCAGGCTTCCTACAAAACAAGGAGTCACAAGGCATAAGACTGAGGTATGCCACATGCCGACACTTCCAAAAATACACCCCGCCAAATCAGAAACTGTCACCGCCGGTACTGTAAAGGGTTTAGATGTTACCTGTAAATGCTATGAAGTGAAAAAAATGGTTTTTAGTTTCTCTTTGAGAAAATGTTATAGTCAAGAATAAACCTAGCAGTGACACAAGTTAATACTTTCCCCCAAATTACACCAGAAATAGAAGTTATCACAACTTCAATTTACTCTCCAAAAACACTAAGATAAATCACCTAGGCTTTCAGCTCCTCCTATATGTCAATGTTCCTTCAAAAGAACTGCACGGCTATCTTATGCATGCACTTCCCTCGGCAAGGCCAGTCTAGCCTTCGAATCAAAACACAGGAGTGTCAGTCCCGATATTCTTAAGCTTTAGGATATATCTGGTTTGGAATTTAAGAAAACAGGATTTGGATTTTGGGGGAAGAAGCCTGACATGATCTTGAGCAAAGTTTCCATAATAATTTTTAGTTTGTCCTTGCCACCTGAAAAAGAATTTGCCACTTTCATTCAGGATTTTCAGAAGCATACCCTTCATCTGGTAAAACATTAAAATGCAGTAACAACAGACGATAACAACATGAAACACTTACTGAGACCTTCCTGTGAGTCAGGTTACATGTATTAACCTCTTAACCTCATAACAAGTTTATGAAAAAGAACCATCATTACTGCTTATGCAGATGAGAAAATGGATGCAGAGTTAGTTAGGTAGGTGGCAAAATTGAGAGTCAAACCCTGACAGTGTTGCTTCAGCCTGCCTTAAACCATTATAAATTACAAGACAATTAGAAGATAATTGAAATCCTCCATCTTAGCACAAGTATTAGCAGATATATTATGTCAACAACCCCAAATGACAGCAGGGCAGAGGTAATTATCTCAAGAGATGGAAAAACTGAGGCTCAGGCATCCGAATCACTTTCCAAGGTCTCAGAAGTGCTAAGTGGTGCATTCTGGACCACAAGTCTTACTCCTTCCACTGGTAGAGACCCTGGGCTCTCAGCGACCCAAGAGGACAAGAGCAAAGGGGTGCTGGGTATGAATGATCTGCAGTCAATGAATGAGTTCCCGGTCTTCACCTAACTACATGGCTTGGTCAATCGTTGACCTAGTCTTGGTCTCTGGTGCGTCACTGGAAGAATGAGAACTGTGGTATACAGGTACATCCATTCAACAGTTGCCAAGCACTGTGCTGACAGATGTGGGAGATATAAAGAAACATGTTTCAAGTGACATAATGGAGGTATGCCCGTGGTCTCTGGCTGGACCTTAGTGCTCAGTGGATCCTCACAACCCTGCATTGTAGGAATCTGTTAGCATCCCCATTTTTACAATGAAGAAATTGAACCACAGAGACTAGATGGCAGATGGAAAGCAGTAGGAGAAGTCAAGGGTCAAACCCAAGCAGCCCAGCAGCAAAGCCCAAGCTCTCCGTCACTACTTACTACCGCTGCCACTAGACCGTAAGAGCAGAGGCTGAGAAGCAGAGAGAACTAAGGACAGAGCCCTGGGAGTGTGGAAAATCAAGGGGCCGGGAAAAGAAAGCAAAACCTGGGTAGGGAGAAAACCTAGGGGAGGGTAACGTCCTAGAAGCCAAAGGAGAAGAGAGTGTTTCAAGGAGGGAGTGGTCAGCTGCACACGGACATCGGCGCAGGAAGCAGTGACGGGACGCCTTGAATTTAGCAATCAAGTCCAGTAGCAATGGGCTGGTGATGGGGAGGCTAAACTGCAGTGAGCTGGGGAACATGGGAGGTGAGGGAGAACTACTGAACTGGACAACTCTTTTAGAAAGCTGTTCGAAAGGCAGGGAAAGCGTTGTCAGGAGCTAACACAACCCTGGTAAGAGCAATGGTCAGGACTGGAACCTAAATCCCCATTTATACTTGGGCTCCCACCATTGTGGTAAGTTACCAGGCTAACATGCTTCAAGAAAATACCAGCCAAATGCACTATTCTATCATAAAACAAGACTATAGCCCGAATGGGGTGCCGGCCCAGTGCCGGGTCCTGGACAGCGCATATGCCCGAGGACCGTGCCTGCTGCTTCAGCACACAAGCAGCCCCTCAGCCACCTGCCTGGGGGACCAACCAGGCCCTGCCCTTCCCGGGGGCAGGGAGTACAGGGTTCTTCCAAGACACAAGATGCCCCAATTTCTCTCCCCACAATAGCAAGAACTGGAAGAGAATGGGCCATAGAAAGTGCTGCCCATCACCAACAAGCACCTCACTCACCTTCCCTATGAAAGGGTGGCCCTGTTCACAAACAACACTAAAGCGTTCAAAAAGGTGCCAAGAGCTGCACAGTAACACAAGCATTTGCAGACTGCCACCATACAGGAATGCCTTGGGGTGGGGTTTGCAGATGGAAACGGACCCCCGCAGAGGTGAACAGCCTGCACCACAGCTGAGAAGTCAGTCTGCCTTAAGCCTCGAGGCGCGCTTCTCTGCCTTGGGTGTGCGCAGGGAAGGTGTTTTCTTCCTGCCCTGGTCAAGCTTTGGTTCTGAGCATCGGCTCTGGCAGGAGCCTCCACCAGTGTCTGCAGAACACAGAGGAAAACACACTCACCTCCTCGGCCGTGGAAGGTGAGCACTAAAGTACTTTCACGGATATTCGCCAGTCAGGGCGAGTCCACCGGCCCCTCCACCACCTGCGCGCTCGCGGAGACACGGCCGTAACGTCGGCCTCTCACCGCATCCGGCTTGTCAAGGGTCACCAGGCTCTTGGTAAACTCACACACCACGTTCACCAACCTTCTCAACCTTCTCTACTTCTCCTTAGTGATGAACACTTTACGTGAAAAAGTTTCACGAATCACCTTTTCTCACGTCTGTGTAAAACTTATTCAAAGTTTGACTCCCAAATTATCCCCAACTTGGCATTTTATTCTTTCATTTATTCAACATTTTTATCTCCTGGCTAACGCCACTGCTTCTGCTCAGGTCACTGTACTCTAATGTTCAGCATGAGCGAGTGGCCACGTCGGGGCCATCTTTCGCAAGAATCAAGCGGTTACTTGTCAACACAAGAAACGATGTCTGTTCACCTCCCTGACGCCCACTGGCTTGCTGACCTCTGACCCCACCTCACAGGAAGGACGAGTCAAACTCAAACCCCACGGATGCTGCAAAGGACACAGCTCTTCCGGTAGAACCCTAGAAGCCACGACGACAGCGAAAAGTATCAGGCTACATAAAAAGCCATTTTTAATGCTGTGGAAAACTAATTTTACTTAAAATAATTTGCCAACATGAACCAACTCAACAAAATACACAGAGAAAACACAATTCAAGGCTTGTTTGTCCCAAACCTAACATGGCTCCAAGGATCCTACCTGAGCAAGGGTAACAACGAGGGTTTTTAAGTGCACTACAAAGGCACATCTTGGTTGGCAGGGCCCGTTTGGGTCACCTGTGCATACACAGCAGCTAACAAAGTATCTTAGTGCAGTAATAATAAGATACATGCACTGGGAGTCCTGCAGCAGACTCTCAATGTTTGTTGAATAAATGTTCCTAAAAGATGTGTAAATCAAATTCTGCTAAAAAACCC